GGGTCAGCGCCGAGGGAGAGCCGCGCTGTCGGTGGGTCAGCGCCGAGGCAGAGCCGCGCTGTCGGAGGGTCAGCGCTGAGGCAGAGCCGCGCTGTCGAGGGTTAGTAATGATGTCTCCCTGTTGTGCTTGCAGCCAATACCCATTGCCATGCAGACCATGTGACAGGAACAGGCCTCCTGAAGAAGATGCTGATTGGATGTCAAAGTGTTATCGCTGAGGCCAGTGGAGCAATGGCAGACATTTACATCAAGGAAGGTGACACCATTAACTTCGGCAAGTTTGTAAGTAACTCACCAGGGGAGAGAATCTCCATCACAGGAACAGGCCATTCGGTCCCTCTGTTCCATGCCAGGAATTCTCCGAAACACCCTGCACTTCTTCCGTGACCTCATCATGATCCCCTTCTCTCCTTCTCTTCCTGGTGTGTTTATCTCGCTTTCCCCTTCAAAACATTGACACAAGTCACCTCAAACATTCCCTCCCACTTCCTGTGGGAGTGAATCCCGCACTCCCTACCACTCCCTGTGGGAGAGAGTCCCACATTCCCTACCACTCCCTGTGGGAGAGAGTCCCACATTCCCTCCCACTCCCTGGGAGAGAGAGCCCTATTCCCTCCCACTCCCTGAGGGAAAGAATCCCACATTCCCTCCCACTCCCTGAGGGAGAGAATCCCACATTTGTCTCCCACTCCCTGATGGAGAGAATCCCACATTCCCCACTCCCATTTCCTGAGGGAGAGAGTCTGACATTCCCTCTCACTCCCTGAGGGAGAGAATCCCACATTCCCTCCCACTCCCTGAGGGAGAGAATCCCACATTCCCCACTCCCACTCCATTTTGGGACTGAGTCCCACATTCCCTCCCACTCCTTTTTGGGACTGAGTCCCACATTCCCTCCCACTCCCTTTTGGGATGGTGTCCCACATTCTCCCACCTCTCTGGGGGAAAAACTTTTAACCTGATTTCCCCATTGGATTTCTTCGGGACTGCTACCTATCATTTGCCCCTTGTTCTGGACACCCCATCACCCCCGCAAGCAGAAACATCATCTCTACATCTGCTCGAGTGAAACCCATTTCAGAATTTTAAAGACCAACAAACAGGTTATCCCCTCAGGCTCCTCTTTTCGACAGAATAGAACTGCACACTGACCTGGCAATAAAATCTTGTTCCGAGTGTGGGTCTGAATGAGGGATAGGGAGACTGGAACTGTGCACGGTGCTCCGAGTGTGGGTCTAACTGAGTCGAAACAGTGCGCAGTGTCATGGAACTGGAAGGTTGGAATTCTGATATTGATCAGGGATGGGTTGAGGATTGGGGAGATTGTTCTGTCAGTGTCTGTATGTGTTCCTCACTCTGTCCAGTTTCTGGAGGCACGTTCAACCCCAGGGCACACAGATGGCTGCCTCACCTTCGTCCTCAATGACCAATCCATGGCCTTCACTGGAGACGCTCTGCTCATCCGAGGCTGTGGACGGACTGACTTTCAACAAGGTAAACCCTACTCCCTCAGCACTGACCCTCCGACAGTGCTGCGCTCCCTCAGC